ACTCCTCATAAGAGAAGCAGCATCAGAGTGGATGCTCTGCATTATTCTCCAAACAATGCCCCCACCTCTGCAAAAAAAAAAAAAGGCAGTGTGATTGGTCTGGTTAATTTATGAACATTTAATTTGTTACCAGGTCCATCCCTAGCAGGGGAAACCACCACCTTCAGAGGTTTTAGGGACGGGTTTGCTCTGATAGCCAGTTGTCAAATTTGAATCAACATCCAATTTTGGTATGACAATATCTCGGGGTTTCATGTTCCTCGAGTCGGTTTCTGTAGCTGGGGATCCGACCACCAAGATCCCTGCCTTTGGCTACTTGCTCAGCTCACAGAGGCCCCTCCCACAAGTGGTGAGCCCATGGGAATGGCGACCAACGTTGCCTTTTCAGGCTGTGTCTAGCTGGGCCCCATGGGTTCAGACCTGCATTCAAGCATGAGAAATTGTAAATCAATTTTTTTGACTCCTCATAAGGGGACGATGAGCCATGCTTTGTCTGGGCCTCCACCTGAAGCCTGTTTGCCATGGGTGACCCTGCCAGATCCATGAAGCCTCAGATAACTTTGCTCTTCGACTCATTCGGACCCACAAAGACCTCCACTCGGTTCAGATGATGGCAGACGGAGGGGTACAATGTAAATTTGCATTGGCAGGCTAAAGCTATCACACTAAACATGTATTTTAGTCATTTTAGCCCTTTTATAGTTTTTCTTCTCATTTTTTTGAATTGTAATAAAGATTCATTATACTGTATATGGTCCTTATAGCCTTGTTGATAATAATAGTAATTGGATTTAGATTGGATTGTAATTGAAAGTCCCATTTCGAGCATTCATTTATTAAGGGATGTAAATGAAACAACCCTATGTGTTGTGACTTGTATATTTTAGCTATGTGCAAAAAAAAACAGCCAGCCACAAACAGCTCCCCCGCCCCCCAAACTGTTCAGGGGCCTTTCCCTCCACATAGTGAAAACACAATTTCCCTTGGTGTATTAAAAAAAAAGGAGACAAACAGGCATAGATGAGACCATTTTTTTTTTCGACACGTTTAAGCAGTTACTGACCCTCTTCAAGTCTTTATTCTTTTGGCCGAATGGGATGTTGTGATTGATAGTTAAGTCTTCAAGCTTTCATGTGTCTGGCTCTCGTTTTTTTTTTTTTTTTTCCTCCAAAGAGAGAATTCTTGCCAGAGTGCATGCAACGCAGGATGTGTTTTCCATATAGATATCCATGGGCATTTGAGAGTTTTTGGTGTACAGTATAAGGTCACACTGTACAGTACAGTACACAAAACAAATTTCTGAGAGGAGACCAATGCAATTTGTTGAGAGATTATACAAAGTATATGAAATCATGAGTTGAAATGTGTTCTACTAGAAGAAAATGTAATCAGCCTTTGTAGTCCACAATTTGATCATTGGCTTTTGTTTAGGAGTGGACAATTGCTTTCAGTGTACAGTTTACGACAAGGGTGTTCCAGTGAGATCGAAAATACCGATCACATGGATTAGCTTTGCAGTTTTTAAATTTTAGAGCTCCTCAATCACGATTATTATAATAATCAATTCATCTCTCAATTATTTTTTCGATTAAATGATGAATCACATTTTTTAAAAATCGATCCAGATTTACATCCCTTCATTATACACAAACAAGACATTGTTTCAAATTAACATTGCAGAAAATGCACAAATATATGATTCGGTTACTGATTTGGCCTGTAACGTGTAGTGTTCGGGAAAAGGGGAGTGGATGCCACGTTGCGCCAGGCTAAAGTCTTGTTGGTTGCCGAATGCAAAATATTAGCTGCGGATGATCCTTTTTTGTGATTGCGATTAAAAGGCATTGGTCCACATATGCCAATCATACCTTTCCATGGAAATCGGACAATTACAATCGATGGGCGACCGATCGGAGCACCACTATTTTACAGTACATGATGGCATCGCCGTAACAGATGCATGTGTCATGTGACGGGAACACGAACTTAACCAAGATGCTGATCTCAAAGTACACCACTGAACTTAACCAATATGCTGATCTCAAAGTACACCACTGAAGTCAACGGAAAAAAAAAAAAATTAAAACACAATAAAAATTCTCTCCACTTACTTTAACAATACATGACATATTGAAATTAATCTCTCTGTTCCGCAAACTTTAATTTGCAGGTTTTCATCAGGGCTGTATCATATACTCTCTTCATTGAAGCTGCTCAATACTGATGGCTGAGATTTAAAAGTAACAGAAAGAAATGTTGAGGCTCTTTTGCAGATGTGCCTCCTCCGCTGTTGTGTGGTAAAATGGATAGAAGTACATTCTAATTTGATAAAAAGCTGGCTGAGGGTTGTTGCATTTGCTTAGTGTCATCTGTGATTAGTTGAACACATTTTCTTGCATAGGTGGAGACACTTTCCACAGAAAACACAACTCTATATTTAATAGTCACATAAGTATGGAAAGAAACATGTTTGATAATTTCCTCTGCGCATTACAGTTGTGATGTCCAGGCTGGTGCACCATGATATGGACCATTATCCATGATCTGGGATCGCCATGCTGACACTATTGTCCTTTTTTCACACTGTGTTACATTCGGACAGAATGGTGGGAAAGGTATTTGTACATTTGCCTCGCAGTTCTGAGGTTTGGGTTTGTAACCGGGTTTCCGCCTTTCTGTGTGGAGTTTGCGTGTTCTCCCCTTGCATGGGTTTTCTTCAAGGACTCTTGCATCCTCTCACAGACAAAAGGCATGCTTCTTAGGTTATGTGAAGACTCCAAACTGTCCTCACTGCTAGTGGAAATGGTTGTCTCTATGTGCCCTGCGATTGATTGGTGACCAATCCCGAGTGTACCCTGCCTCACACCCAGAGTAAGCTCCACCGCACCCACTACCCGACTGAGGATAAGTGGGATAGAAGATGGATGGAAAAAGGCTTTTGATTCCATTATTTTTACATTAATCTACTTGTCATGATGTCTGGCTGAATATTAGATTAGATTAGATTAGATTAGATTAGATTAGATTAGATATCCTTTATTTGTCCCACACACAAATATCTGATCGTTGCTGTTTTGGCGACACACATTTCATGCATATTCGTCCTTCGAAGGGATGATGCACAAGGAGAGCATTTGTTTAGAATTCTTTGTCTCTGTGATATGTCTGGCTGTCTTGTCCTATTTATTTATTTAGCATGACATATCTTTGACTCTCTGCATATATCAGTGGTGGGTGGTGCATTTGGGACCCGAGCCTGTCAGGGGGACTGAAGTGACCTTATGCACCTCTTAATACTTCCACTATCACATTGCAAAATCATATATATTTCAAAAAAAGTAATTTAAATATGTGCAGCACCATGCCAGGGTGGCAATAAGGATTCTCTCACCCGCTTGGCGCCTCTCGACATGGGCACTTTCACAGTGGATGAGTGCCCAACCCCTCTCAAGAGCACTGCTACTGGAGTCTAGTCTACTATGTCTAGTCGGAACTTCTCGACCTTGCATGCCGGCTCAAGGTCCTTCCCTGCCAGAGAGGTAACATCCCAGGTCCCTAGAGCCAGCTTTTATAGTCGACGATTGGACCGTCAAGGCCCCTTTCTTCGGCCTCCGCCCAGTTCACTTTGCACGCGACCCCTATGATCACTCTCTCAGGTGGTGAGCCTATGAGAAGGGGGAACCACATTGTCCTTTCGGGCTGACCCTGTTCATGTCCCATTGAGTGCAGGCCCACCCACCAAACGCTGTCTTTTAGCCTCACCTCCAGGCCTGGCTCCAGAAGGCGTCCCCGATGACCCGTATCTTGGCAAATAAAAATATAATCCCATAACACAGAAAAGGTGTATTCGTCTGATGTATTGTCCTATATACAGGCACTGACCACAAAATTAAGTCCACCAATATTCACTTATGAATTTGGTTACATGAAGAGCGTTAAATAGTGTAAATATATTTGAGTATATTTCAGTGTGGTTGTACACTAATTCGAGCTACAACCTCAATATTCAACTATTAAGTGAAACCCCTCTGACAGTGTCAATTCAAATTGAACATGATTATTATTATAAAGACAGACCATTTGATACTGTTATGTGACAACCCAAAAACCAAATTAGTCACTGAGATTGCAATAACAGGGCTCTGTCCATCCATCCATTCATCCAGTCATCTTCTTATCCATTTATCCTCACAAGGGTCGCAGGGCATGCTGGAGCCTGTCCCAGCTGTCTTCGGACAGTAGGCGAGGGACACCCTGAATTGATTGCCAGCCAGTCGCAGGGCACACAGAGACAAACAGTCAAACAACCATCTGCGGTCACACTCGCACCTAGGGACAATTCAGAGTGTTCCATTAACCTGCCATGCATGTTTTTGGAATGTGGGAGAAAACCCATACAGGCAGGAGAAGAACATGCAAACTCCACACAGGAAGGCCTGAGCCAGAATCGAACCCAAAGCCTCTGCACTGTGAGGTCGACGCGCTAACCAGTCAACCACAGGGCCGCTCCAGGGCTCTGTCTGATGATGCACTTAATCCAGCATGTAGTCGTTGTATTTTGTTGATGTGTCTTTGGCTGTTTCAATAAATCTTTTTAAAATGTGCAATTAATGAAGGTAGACTTGCAGCGCTGATGGTAAAAACGCAGCGGTTAACAGAAACAAAAGCACCCTACCTCCTCTTTCCCTGTACCAAGCAAACAAACATTTCCAGGTAGACACGCGGTTTTCATTAGGCAATCTCTGTCTCACACACACACACACACACACACACATACACACACGCGCGCACGCGCACGCCTCTGTACAGATACACAAAGTTGTGGTTGCTGGTTTTAAAAATGACATTTCTAGATTAAATGCAAAAATTATGTAAATTTAAACAATTTTATATTTTGAATATTCATATTGTCCCATAATTACCATTTTAGTTTTGATTTAAAAGTCAGAAAATGTAGCTGCTTTACTTGGAGAGCTGATGTTTCACCCTTCACTCTTCAGACAGGACTGTTCAAATTGTCAAATGAAGAGTTCTTCATCCAGCCTCTGGAAAAGCCACATGATGAGCCCTCGGCACTTCAGGCCCATGCCATCTTTAAACGCCATGCTTCCGTCCCGTCATCCTGGAGTCCACTTTTAAAGCCCATCTCAGGGAAACAAGCAGTTAATGGTTCCTGTGGAGTCAAAAGTAAGTGTCCTTCTTACATTGCACATACATAACTGCAAATGACAGCACTTTTTACAGCACTTGAAATATGGCAACACAGTTCGATCAGTAGGTTAACATGTTAGTGTCATTCCAAATGCAGGATTGTTAAGTCTATTTTACAGCAAGATTTTTTTTTCCTTCCTCCCTTCACCTTTTTTACAAATGATGCAGCTACTAGGTGCTGCATCAGGAGATCAGTTTTAAAGCAATAGTCCTGACAACAAAGATAGTTTAAGAGTAATGAAACAGTTGTATTCAATTGTACAACAAATCTAGAATATAAAAAAAAAAATCACTTGGTGTTTTGCATATACATTTTTTTTTTTTTTTTACTGTTACCATTACTTTCATACTGCATTAGTGTAGATACTAGTAGGCTATACAAGAGTGCATATGTTACTAGCAATTTAAGTCATCTCTCACATTTGCTATCTAGATTCGCATCACAGTTTGGAAGCGATTGAGAGAAAGCGGGAATACTGGGAGCAGCGCCAGGACAGAAAGAAGAGAAGGATCCATCGGCGCTCCATCAGCAAAGAGAAGTGGGTGGAAACACTGGTGGTGGCTGACCCAAAAATGGTGGAATACCACGGCAGCAAAGGTGTCGAAAGCTACATTCTTGCTGTAATGAACATTGTAAGTATGAAATCAAAATGTAATCAAAAGTTAGTTTTGTGTTTCTAACATCAGTTCAGCTGCATCCATCAACATTCGACCAAGGTTATAATGTTCAGCATCACACGGAAGCTTGATTCTATCACCTGCTGATTTAGGATGAGAGGTGGTCTTATCACTTGTCAATCACAAGGCTGAGATAAACTTCTTAAAATGCAGCTTGCAAGTGAGAGTCAGTTTGACTTGGAACTGTTGCAAGCAGTCATTTGCCTGAATGAATGTCCAGACTCTTGGCATTCATGCAAGACAGACGTTTGTCGCCACAGGTGAGCCAGCGTATGTTAACGCTGTGCCCAAAAGGAAAAGGAATATTTTAGCATTTGCATTTAAATGTCATATGTGCATCTTAATCATCTTTGGCCCCTTGTGCAACTGTGTTGTGTAAAGCAAACATACCTACACAATATTAAATCAAAATCAACTCAAATTTTATTTGTAAAGCACTTTTAAAAATTGTGAAAACATTAAAAATTGCAACACAAAGTGCTTTACAGAAATAAAAACAATCAGTTGAAAGAAAAAACAAAATATACACAGTAGCACACCTCTCCCATCCCTTCATGTAAACACACACACACACACACACACACACGCGCGCGCACGCGCGCCCACACACATGCCCACATACGTATATATTTAGTGAATGTGTGGAGACATGACAAGGCACCGAGGATCCAGAAAACATTCTGTGGGAGCAATCCACACTGAGAGGTGACTCGTGTCCAACCAGCACATCCATCCATGTTAGCTTGAGAGAGAAACAGGCGGACTCTGGCTACATTCTTAAAATGGTAAGATCCTGTTTTGGGTCCATTCTTGATGTTTGGGATAAAATTAATGGTCAACTGTGAAGTAATTTTCGAAAATCCCAAATTAAATATTTTTGTCACAACTGAACAACTTAAGCACTTCAACAAAATGCACAAAAAAATTTATATTTCGTAAATTTGATAAAGCAATTGTCTTTCCCGAAGTGAGCTCCTGACGAGCATCAAACCCAGAAGTGTGACATCACTTTAAGACACCAATAGCGGTGCTCACTATGGAAAGCGTACAAAGCCAGTCCAAAATCGATTCGGAAAGTGATGTTTTAAAATGATCTGAGGGGATCCTGCTGTATGAAGAGTTGGAGGAAGAGGAGGTTGTTAGCAAGATGTATATTGGACCATACACGTACGAGCCAACAACAGTTTAAGTCAACAGTCTCAAACTTGGGCCTTACACTGGACAGTGATTTCAAACTTGACCGGCAAATTGGTGCCGTTGTTAAATCCAGCTTCTTTCACCTTAGACAGCTGGCCAAAGTAAAACCTCTCCTCTCTCATGAACACTTTGAGACAGTAATTCATGCCTTTGTCACATCCCGGCTCGATTAC